TTACTAGTAGTAACAAGAAGCTATTAGAAATAAGAATTCAATTAGAACCAATAAGCTACTAGGAACAAGTGCATCGCTGCTGGTAACAAGTGCCTTACTAGTAGTAACAAGAAGCTATATATTGGAAATAAGAATTCAATTAGAAACAATAAGCTAGACTCGTCACGTGTGCAATGTCCGGACACGTGGTGATCAATCTGTCCTCCAACACAGGGTCATCGGCCCAATCCTCTTCTTCTTCTCCTGGAATATTTCAAGCAGTTGGACATGGCTTGGGGTGACTACGGCCAAACGGCCAAACAAATCTTTCATGAGTTTGAGACCCATCCGTACCACCTTCTTCAAATCATGCAAAGGATTGGGAATCATCCAGTCTCCTTCGTGATCTCCTGCCCAATTCTCCTCAGCTGCATCCTCAGCAGCACCCACACCAGGGACTTCGGGATCTTCCTTGCCCATCTTGACATCCTCGTGTTCTTCATCCTTCACAACAAACTCATGGAGCAAAGTATAAGTAACATGGTTAGCTCGTACGGTCTTATGGCTGACAGGTGAATCTTGCACCCGCTGGAATGCAGCATGCGCTCTGTCGAGCCAGTTCACAGCAATGTGACCAAAACAGTTAAGTGAGTGGAGAGTTTTAAAACAATTGACTGATGATTTGAAAGCGAAGATCGACAACTCGGCAAGTTCGATGCAATTCATTCTTGATCGTTCAATCACCTATTGCTCAGTCCAAAATACGCTAAACTTACTACACAATGGGATCATCATGCCTGCCATGCTCTTCCCTGTCAATGTCCCAAAGCAAACTGTCGGAAGGCCCTCGGAACGGGCCTTTTGCTGTTCCTTTGCCTTTGCAGCCGGCCCTTCACATGCCTTCTCTTTGAGTCTCACCTATAGAGGCGTTTAACGGTTGTTGCACCCTGGCTTGATGCTGGCACTTCCAAAATCTGTCAAATGCCTATTCGATAGATAGTGGTGCATCCCAATCCAGCAGCCAAGGTGGCAAAAAAACACGGAAAGCCACCGTATATTGTTTTGACTTTGTCCATGTTGGGTGGCCCTTTGCCCGCCCCGTTGTCCAAGCCTCAGTTTGAAGTTGAAAGTCTCGTCCTTAGAGTCTTGGCGAGGTTGCAGCTCAGGGTCAAAATGGGCATGTGGCTTTGGGAATTAGATTTGGAAAGTGGTGGCCGCCAAGGGCTGGTGATCACTTTGTGAATTTGACCGTGGAGCTACTCCACCCCCACAAAGGAGGAACCAAATCCTCCTGGCCTGTAGAGGAGATTGTATGAGATTGTTGGTCCAACCGGTGGTGTCCTTCTCTGCTAGTGCTCCGATGAAACCATGTGACGAGCAAACCACGGAACATGTCCTGAGGTCAGTGGGTCGCGCTCGCTGCGGGTCGCAGCCACGTTGCCACCACGCAGGCCGAGGTCACTTGGGCCACTCGAGCCACTCAAGAAAACATCTCAACCCACAACCCCCCCGGATATTATGTCAATGCAATGACTCAAAGCACATCATCTAGTGAAAGGTTTTGCAGAACCACATGCAAAGGTACCTAATCGTATCCCACAAAGCACCCCAAAGAATATCCACATAAACATGTTACCTCCATAGAAGCAGCGCAACAGCAAAACAAAAAAATATCTACATAACAAAAACAACCCTGGCCAATCATGGTTTGATGCTCTTGCCTTAGCACCCTGAGGGGATCCTTCTTCCACTCCTGCTTCCATATGTCCATAATATATGTTCATATTTAGTGGGGACACCTCACCAATCCCCCCAAATGTTATCAACTGACATAACTGACTGGCCTTCTCAGGTGGTCCAGCTACTCCACCGTGGTCCAGCTCTGTGCGGACCGCAAACCAGGTAAGTTTGACCTAGCCTATACACGTGACAAGACCCACGGATGCTTGCCTGTATCATCCTGTATCTCTGTTAGCCTTGCTGATTCCGGAGCTTTCTCCACCCCTTAAAGCGCCTTCGAGTGGCGCATCCGCTTCGCAAAGGCCACGCAGCAGCAGCGCGCCAGGTCGCGGTCGAGCTCCGAGGTCCACTCGTCCAGCACCAGCGGCATGGAAGGGTCCTGGCTCCAAGCCGGCAGCTTCGAAGCACGGTGTGGCGAACCAGCACAGTGGCAACACTCGGAGAACCACTGTTCTTGTGTTGCCACACCGTTTCACTGCTTATATAGTGGGTTGAGAGTAGATGGCACAATCTCCAAAAGGTGGGTTTATATGGACCCCTTTATACAAGACATCTTGGGGTTTGTGTCATCTACTCTCAATCCACTGCTATCTGATCTGTTTGAATCTGTTTACTGTTTCACCGAGGTGTCACGGTCGCAGCGGGTTCCGCCACTCGAAGCGTTGGCCCAACCGTTGCCAAGCAAAACGCCCTTCTGGGATCTTCGAGTGTGCCAATCACCAAGGAACCTTGGACACCAATCACAAAAAATATCCAATCCATCATAATCCATCCAAAGCCAATCAAACGGGTTGGCCAGGATGGCCAGGTCTACCCGTTGATCGTCCAGTCCTTGCTACGCTCTTGGAGGGCCAAGGCCAAATTGGCGCGGTACCTGACGAAGGCGCATACAGGTGCCACATCAAGCTGGGGCAAAGGTGGAATCTAGTTTGAGGTTGCTTTTGGGGGGAACATGGAGATCCCCCCTGACAATAAGTATCTGAATGTTTTTTGGTCAATCCATCTGAGATCTGTTGAGCGGAATGATCAACCAAATAGTATAGTTCATGTCAATCGCCTTCATCTCTTCATGATTATGCTTCATCATCTCCTATTCCCACCTATATATATATATATGCATATTCCCCATACTTCCCCACCGTCCACCTCACGTCACTTCCGTCACCAAGGGTTGGTGCCTCTCTCCAGTGGAAAGGACTTCAAAGGGCTTGACCCAGCTGGGCACCGATCCCAGGCCGACGCCCGTCAGCCAGTCACGGCCTCTGGGTGCACACCGGCTTCACGAGGTCGGCGGTGTATATGATATAGTTATATATATATGAGCCACGGTCAAAATCAATTATTTATGCTAAGGATGTTTTTGATCGTTATCGGTTTTGGGGGAGACCTTATCGGTTTTCAGCTTTTTGTTCAACCAGATGCTTTTGGCATTCGCATTTACATTGTGGACGCATGAAGCGGAGCTATCTACTCGCTGAAATCAGAAGCAGTGGATGACGAGCTTCTTCACAGCTCGCGTGTCAGCAGCGGACAAAGGCATTGCGATCTCGAGTGGGTTTGTGAAATTTTGTGTACCTATCTCTAATATTTATCGGCCTTCTGTTCGCTGGGATGTAAAATGCTAACATGTATAGTTCTCAAAAAGAAAGGCTAGACCAATGTCTTCGATAAGGAATTTAGCTGTCTTGTCAGCAGGCTCTGGGCAAGTGGCTATGAAAGCTGAAAACATATCCAGACGGTTATCGGCGAGTTATCGGTTTCGTTATCGGCATAGTGCCCACATAGAATCCGGATGTTTCAAGAAATGGCTGCAGATTAGAAAAATATACAAAAACCGCAACAAACATCTTGATTCCATATCATATGGCTGAAGCCGTGGGGCTTTCATTCGACATGCAACAGGTACTGCAAGGATGTCAGGAATGATAATAAATATCATCATACAATATCATACATAGGTTATCGGTTTTGGGGGGGACCTTATCGGTTTCCAATACATCCTCACCCTAAGCCATTCACATCGACCTCTCCTGACTAAAGTAGTCTACACTTATTTTGACCCCACCTCATATATATACGTATGCATATATGTGTATGCGTATATTACAATATATAAACCAGGCTTGGGTGAGAGAAAATGAGAACAAATGAAACGGTGCTGCAGCTGTCGTGTTTTGTTGAACCCATCGGTATCCATCGGTGATAATTGAAAAATTGCGTTTTGAACAACACAGAGGCAACCGTACCAAGCACATCAAACATTGTCAACCGATCCCACGGTTCACTGGTTTGCCCCCAGCCATGTGGGTCCATCGGTGGAGATCCAGTCTGCGTCCAAACGTGTCAGGTGGCCCAAAGACACTGACCAGGTTTGGACACAAAGGCAACAGTGGCTGTAGCTTGGCCCAACCCCCAATTGCAACAGTCGTTGTAATGGCAACACCAAGCGAAACAGTTCACCCGTAGAGTAGCTGATTGTGAGCTTTGGGGATTTCTTCTTTGGCGGTTTGGCTTGGCTTCCTGCAGCTTCGGCAGTATGGGGACAAGTTCTTGTATCAAATACGATCCTCAAGACGTGGTATGGCACGAGAAGAGAGAAAGATCGAGAAAAGCATTGATTGGAAAAGCTACGGGCCGCATGGCTGCACAGTCCAACAACAACGACGAGCAAACAACTGTTTATTGTAATCACATGGTAGTCACGAGTGTTCACGCTTCATGATGCTCAGCTGATGTTCTGCACGGGTCGCCTCTCTCCGCGTCGTCAAACTGCTCGATCACCGCTTTTCCTTTTGGCCACTCAGCCGATGGATACCTAGTCGACTGCGACCGTTCCACGACCGGAGACGCCACGTGCGGAGGGGGTGAAGCCCACCAAACCGTCTGCAGCCAGGCGGCAAGGGACCGGAGTATTTGGGGAAGTACTTCTTGAGCAGCGTCCGCGCAAGAGTTGACTTTCCACTGCCCGATGGGCCAAGGATCAACAGGCTCCTGCACCGACCCCGTAGATGCCACACCCCAGCCTTGAACCCTGAAAGAACTTGACGCAATCAAATGCCAAACGTCATCCCAAAGATGTGCTTGCCAACCTCTGTCAGTTGCCTTGCCAGGTTGTGTTGTGGATCAGGCGATGTCAACCTTTGACCTGTCACCCCAGGACCAGACTATCTGCACCACACGTGCATCAAATGGATGCCCCCGGTGAAGCAACGCAGTTTGTATAACTTGAAAGACTTGAATCACCAACCAATGCGCTGCTGGTACGTCTCAATGCACTCTGCACAGTCCTGAAGTCTTCTGGAAGACCTTCAGGTAGTTCTCCTAAACCCGGCCAAGCACCAGGAGCTTCTAAACCTTCGTCTTGCCCGGCTTCCACCGTCTGCCTGCGATGCGGTTGAAGACCACCCACTGACCTGTGAATGTATGTTCCACATTACCCAAGGCACACGGAAGTCGTGGCAAACACCGCAGGAAGAACATCTCTCACTCGACAATTATATTCACGTGTATATATATATATATAGTTGTTTTTTCTCCCCCCTCCAGCCTCTGGCCTAAAGGCGCAAAGGCCTAAATGCACATTGCTGTTGCCAACCTATTTGCAGAGCCCAAACCGGTCTGGCTCCGCAGTGAACACCTCCGACCCTCGTTCACTGCACCTGTGCGTCGTGGCGGGTGCCACAGCCGCCGGCGGCTCCGACATCGGCCGAACCGTGGCGTCCGGCGGCAGAAGCGTGGCCGGCGGTCTCTCAGAGCCTGAGCTGGGTGCAGGGCGGATCCTGTAGAACCCTTAAGTCGCTACAGGATTCGATGGTCTGCAATGAGGTCAGGGTCGCACACCCACATCACATGAACAAAACCAGCAGCCCCATGGCATGAACTTCTATAGGTTGAGGCAGGCTTGAGACAGGCGCACTTTAACCTAAGTTTCGGCTGAGGATGTCATACAAAAGAGGTTGAAAGAGGGCAGTCTTGAAGCTCAAGAGGCTGGACAGCGGTCATATTGTGGAGCAGCATCGCTGGACATATCGCAAGTCGAAAAAATGCAAGTCCAAGTAACAACTTCCAGAATCTCCAAGAGGAACAAAATTAGAACACAAATGTCACAAGTGAAAATGAGGATTGACGATATAACCTGACTAAACTCAAGTATAGTGCTAGCTAAGAGACTAAGAAACCAAGGGATCAATGACCGTTGGGTGGAATGCAACGAATGTTCAAGTCCAATCAGTCTTACTCTGCAACCCCAAAAAGGAAGAGAGGCATCATTCACATAGCACATGAACGGTCTTGAACACGCAGCATGTTGCACACTACGGCAAATGTCATTGAGCCATTGGAGACATCATGATGCAACTCAAGCCTCGAAGCATAGACTGTGCTCATACATACTCATACTCATATGGCAAATATACAAAAAATGTCACAAAGCCATCAAATGCGGCCAAGCATCTTTGGGGAAAGTACACAGTCGGCCGGGCACCCTCTATGCAGTGGCACACATGAGGGGCCTCTGTTTTGCCCTCGGACTCCTGACAAGTGTCCAAGCATTCTTCAACCCCACGCATGGACCTCACTAACCAAATGACAAGCATTAATCATTAATCCCGAGTACCTAGTCCAAAACACTGAGACTGACAGTTTCCAACATTTTGTAGCTACTATCTATTAAGGACCACCCATGTATTCGAGCACTGAACTACACAGAAGGTCCTTTTGGTGGGAGTTTCTTTGATTAGCTACCCACTCACGCCTCACACACATGTGCACCCCTTGAGCCCTTGGAAGGGAGCCAAACAAACGTACTTTCCGAGGCCTCGCAACCGCAGGCCGCACAGAGACATCGCCTTGTCGAAATCATGTTTTTGTTCTTATCAAAATTGGCCTGATCAAACGTTTACAAGCGAAGCATATCGAACAATCATTCATATTTCAATAATGGGATTGCAAAGGTTCCTAAGGAAAGACCCTTCGATCTGGAGATTTACCTAATTTGCGATACGAGTTTCATATAGTTCATAAAAGGATTTCATATCACATGTTCTTACTCTACTTTTCGGCTTTGACGTTCTTCCCGGGTTTCCATCTTTGCCGGTCCCCCTATTTCGAGGACCTCGTATTCACAAACAAATGCAAATCCCAATGTAAAACGCTACGCCACGACGGGGGTCCCGGCATAGTCCTTGCAAAAGAAGTGTGTTTCCCAATGTAAATGCATTGATTCTCACAACTCTTTGATTTACCTCCAAACACTGGAACCTACAGAGTTCTTGTGGGGGGAGCATATGGCCACATATCAAATCGCATTCTTTGAAATAGTAGTTCCCAATGTAATCGCATCCATGATCTTTAACTCTTTCAACGTGGTTTTGATAGAAAGCTGTGTGAGATTGTATATACCCGGAACCTCCTCAGAGTTTTTCTTTTCTTTTTCTCGATCAGCGGCGTGAAAAACATCTTTCGAGCACAGCCTTATATTTGAGTCTGCAGATCTTTCTCTAAGTTTTTTTTTTTCTGACATGCCACGGGCGTTTATACACAAGCTACAGGCATTTATTGGTGAGCCAAAGGCGGTTTTCCCGAACGTGTGTTTAACGCGGATGTTTATGTGGTTCACAGACCTAAATAAAGGTATGTTGAACTAACGACCCCCCGCCAAAAAAACGCAACCACAAAGTTGCAGTGTAAATAGGAGCGAGGTACGGGAACGAGGTATGAACAAGGTGGCTAACGAGGCCTTTTGCAAGGCGTCGGTATAGCTGCGCTGTCATCAATACATGTAATAGTTGCACAAACCTCTGAAACTCTGAAGAAGTGGATTCCAAGTTAAACATTAGCCTGTAACCAAACACACTAATCTTGAACACGTGCACAGCCACGACTTCCACAAGTCATTTCCCAAGCTAAACGCAACAAACAACACAAAGCGCAACGACTTTCACATTTCGGTGTAGATGGAAGGGATTGCAAGCCACGCCTCTTGTGACTCTTGTGCCTTCCTCTCTTCCAACTCCTTCTTGCTGGGCCGGCCAATCTTCGTTCGTTTCATCTTCTTCTTTTTGACCTTCTTGATTTTCTCAGGTCGTGTTCGTGGGCGGCCTCGCTTGCGCTTGACCTGGTGGAAAGCACAAGCGTCCAAGCACCAAGCTAGTTCCATCTATTTCCAGCATTCCCATCACTTTCATCGATGGTGATCATTGAACTTACACGCATGCCATGGTCAATCTTCCCTGCCTGTTCATCAGAGGTGCCTTGCAGAAGCTAGAGCCGCTGAAACACATTTTGTCAACCCGCACTACCAAAATGAATTCCATCGATTCAACCACCTCCATTCAGGAACCTGCCCCCCTCTTGCAACTTCAAAGAACAAGCTACTAATCAATCATCGTCCACACGTCTTGGCAAAAGTGGTGCACAATTGCAGCTGCCAGCAACATTTGGCATCTTCAGCTCTCATACACTTCTGCCTGCTGGAACAAGCGGTCCGCTTTGAGCTTCCTTCAGAACCTGAGGAATTGTGCGGGACAACCGGGGTCGTCGCCCCGCTGGGAAGAACAGTTCAGTGGCACAATGCCACATCCGGCCACATCAGGCCATGGCCACTTCTGGCCACTTCCCATCATCTGGCCACCGGTCAGGCCGGCCGGCCACCCACCAAAAAATGTCTATCCTCACAATGCCACAAGTTCGCCGTGCCTCTGGGCCGGCGGGAGCCTTGGCAGCATTTGGTTGCACATTCTTCCAATCATAGCCCATCAAACAATATGGCATCTAAATGAAAACCACTGAAGAATGCATCTCTAAGGGCTTGCATGTTGCAGGGGTCTTCAACACCAAAACCCCCGACCTCCGCCACAGACTTTCTGCGCTTGGCGGCTTCCCCTGGGCGAAGTCAGCCGCCCAAAGGGGTGGTTGTTGGACAAAAAGAAGCTACTAGGAGCAAAGGGCATCGCTACGAACGGAGCGATCGGACGCTACGAACGGGGCTCCTGGCCGTACTACTAGAAGCAAGAAGCTATTAGTAACAAGAAGCTACTAGTTTCACCCTACATTTGACACCTGTGCTTTAAGAACGTGGCACAGACACCTCGTGAGGAATGTCGACGGGGGAAGCCGATCTAACCCGGCCAGCCGCCAGCCAGCATCATAGGATGAGACAGGCCGAAAGCATATAACATGATGAACACAAGGATTGAAAGAACACGGGAAATTACATATTTGTTGCCTTCAGTTGGAAGGCCAGCAACACATTTTCCCGCCATTGTCCTGCCAATTCAATCAACTCTGTCTTAAGGCATGTCTCACATCCAAGACCTAAACTAGATGGCCCCGACGGCACAAGTAAGTAACATTGGCATAGCATCTATGAGTACCCGGTAGGCCCTGGAGAAAATCGGCCACTTGTGGGCTGCTATGTGAGTTGTAGTTGGCTGCGCGTGTATATAGGTGTGATAAGAATTCGGTTACATACTCTATGTCTATGCAATATAAGTGATATTCAAGGGGGGTTCCGCATATGTGATATGGCCTCTATTATCCTCTATTGAAGACTGCCAATATGCCCAACACAGTGCCAACCTGCTGAGAGCGACCCGGCCCTCCGAGCCTGCCGGTGAAGGCCCCGCATCCGCATCGGCCTGTGACATTCGGTAGGCTGACCATCTGGTCAGCATGTCCTGTGTTTGGTCCATATAGCAAGCACAAAGCATATCACTGAACCAGCAACTTCGAACAAGTCTGCATCAGTGTGGCAACCGACGGCCAGTCCCATTTTGCAAGGGCTGCCTCTGCAGAAGCCGCGGGCTCAGGCACCTCATCCGGCAAATATGGGCAAATCTTTCCCTACGTGAACGATATCACAAAGACATGATCTACATTTTGTGGACCACCGGTCCATGTTCAACACATTGACGGATCCTGGCACACCATGGTACGACAACACAACGACATGTCCGTCGCGTTTACGGACGGATGGGACTGGGGACTATTGATCTGAATCCGATCAAGTCCCAAGTGCCTATTTCAAAAACACGACCCAAGTTTAAAAACAACATATATAATTATATATATACCAGCACCTTCCAACAGGTTGTTTGGAGACCCTAACAGGTGGTTTCTGGGCACCTGTTGTCACCAGGAAGCACCTGTTGGAGGGTGCTGGTATATATGTATTATATGATCTGTCGGACAACCATGGACCACCCTCAATAGTGTGAAGATGTTTGAAGATCTTCACTGAAGCACCAATGTCCTGCTTGAGAGCAATCTGACGAAGGGGGCAGCTATACATTAAAAAACCTCCCCGCCTCTGCAGGAGACTTCTTCCGCTTGGCAGCTTCGTTGATGGCGCCACTGGCGGGGCCACAGTGGCCTGCGGTGGAGAGCAAAAAACTACACATTTGACAGGCACACCTCCCTAACAAAGCCACTGCTCGCATCACGCAATGCCACCAAGGCACGTTCATGCATTACAAGGCCTCCTTTGTTTCCAATCTTCGTGGAACAATAGCGACAAATAAACCTGGGCCGTTGCCAACGCAACAGAAGTAGGTAAATAGATGTGATTCCAAATCAACGCCAAAGTGCTCAATACCAATCTGGCATATGTAATGAAACGCCAAGCTTTTGTGTTGTTTCTCAGGCTTTCACTCCGGGGATGGAATTCCTTCCTGTGGCACTTCCATCGAGTCGGCCGTTCCGCGCCGCCCGTTCCACACAAGTCGTTCCGCAACGAGTCGTTCCAACTCCCAGATGTGTTAGGGCTGATGTGAGGCAAGCTGAACGAACACAATGTACTTGATTTGATGTGTGAATGGTTTCCCGGCGGACTCCAGCTCAGTCATCGAGCCCAAGGAGGCGGCACAGGTTGATCAACGGGCCACCCTTCTTGCAGATCAAGAGGGCAAATCCGGTCACCAGGTCCTACTTTCGCAGACCGTGCTCCGTGTCCGAAACCTTTGGCGTTGGTGCGCGCAGCTTTGACAAAGCATGGAATAACCAAAAAATAATCAATTAGGGGACCGCTGCAATTGACGGAATGATCATCATGTGGTGGTGGCTGTGAGTACTTGGGTGCAAATCAGTTGACCCTGACAAAATGCCGATTTAAACCTCCATGAAGGCCATGTCATGGCATATGCACTTCCTCTATATAGCCCAATCGTAGAAAGTCTGAAGGCATAGACAAACATATAGATAAATGAACTATCAAACGACCGCTGATTTCTTTACAGCTGTCTGATCCCCAAGAAGACCTCTTGACTTTTGAGGCTCAATTTTATCTCCTCTCCTTCTGTGCCCGAAGGATGTCGGCTCAAACCGGGTGCAAGTCGTAGCCAGAACGGCTCAAAAGGCTGGTGGAGACCAAAATCAAGCTCAAACAAGCTCAGAGGGCCTCACAGCTCTGACTAGACATGAGCTAGACTGGCCATCTCCTGAGGCATGCTGCGCAAATCGATCGAACAGTCAATCCTTTGCTATAAATTGATATTGGGTTTTCATTGGTGTTCTTTATTGAATCCGATGGAACGTCTGGTGAACAAGTTGAATTGAGATTGAGAGGCCCCCTTCAATCTCCACAGCCTTCCAGTGCTTGCTCTCCGAGCTTCCACTGTGACATTGTTCCCGCGGCAGATGACATTGTCTCGAGGCCGCCACTGCGGGTACACCATATACGACATGGTTGAGGGTGAATAGTCGGTCCGTCGGTCCAAATGTGTTTTCTAAGTAACCCAAACAGGAGGACCGCGATCTCTAACTGGGATGATGTTGTATGACCCCCAGCCATACATCGGCCCACTGCAACCAAGGCCTTACACCGTTGTTCATCATGGAATCATCCTAAAGTTGTTTCAAAGCCTTTATTGGATCTGTGATGATCTATGTCAAAGTGGCAATGTGGGTCTTATATCTTCAACATCTCCGGGTAGGCCCAAGGAATTCGGGTCGGGTGCCCGAATGGCCACTTGACCTGCAAGGTTGGGCCGGCAAAGGCTTCTAGCTTTCTATTCCGCGGATGTCTTCCAATGGGGTGGCACCAGAATTCACAAAATGCACTATACAGTATATATACACCCTGTCCACACATACAAATGCTAACATCTCCTACAATTAGAATAGGGAAAATAATCTTTTGCCATGAGACCTCTTGTGAGCTCCAGTCCCCTATTACAAGACGCCCTCATGGCCAAAGTGCTTTATTTAGCACTTGCCAGCGGCCAATTTGAGTCTTCACAATAGACAGGCTCTTTGCGGCGATCTTCACCGGAGTGCGTCGGGCATCGTTCTGGCCCTTTCGGAAAATCATCTTTGGCGCAAGTCTGCGAGGTTAGCAAGAGATAACTGTTCGTCGAGGATGTTGAAAAATAATGGTCCCTCTTGGTTCTGGCCACAATGGCCCGGTTTGCTTCCGAAACGTGTTTTTTCTGTTGTGGACCGCCCCCGCATGGTCACGCGATCCATCAGCCCGCAGCAACCCCAACAGCTGGTGGGATTGTTGGAATGGGCTCCGGGAGCAAATTCCTCGAAGCCAAGCTTGGCCTGAAAAGCATCATAATGACAAAGCAATCTCAATGGTCATCATGTGATGTTGCGCATGGGTAGCAATGGACAACGGTTGTTGTGGTAATTATGCGGTACTGTCAGGGTGGGGGTAGGCATAATGGCATGTCATGGTTGCAGGTCACGGTATCAAACTGATCTACAGGAACTTAGTAATTAGGGCCACGAGGATGGCTGGATTCTAGGGTGTCCAAGTTGGTGGGATTCCATGCGTTCCTTACATTCCCATACGTTCCCTTTCGTCGCACCAGAATCCTTCGGACAAGCTTCCGATCCGCTGATCGCTGTTCTAAGCTGCCGGCAGCTGATAGAGCTCTCGGATCCGAATGTCGGCCTCGCGCCGACGGCGTTTCGGTTTCGGCCCGGTGAGACTGGTGGCCATGGAGATCCACCGGTGCAGGTCCTCCTCTTTTTCTGAACAATCTGAACGGATTGAAGAGATCAAGGGCGTCAAGGGCGAGAGCCCTAGTGTCTTTCTCCATGGCTCAACTGAGAGAAGAATGGAGCTTGCACAACACGCTCCAAGTCCAAAGGGTCGTGCTCCAGCTGCCCAAGCTTCGCCTCGGGCACCTCCGCGGATTTCAGCACCATGCTGTAGGGCCCGACCTGAGACAAGCGGAAGGGACCTCACACTCTCCTGGAATGTATGCGTCACTCCAAATATATCAAGCATTCTCAAGTATCAAATGACTCCAACATCAGGAACAAAGCATTCTTCACGTTTAAACTGTTTAAATCTGTTTAACGTTTTCATCACTGCATGGCATATTCAATTCTTGGTGAATAAGCAGGCAAGTTTGGGAAACACAAAGGACATCATAGAGTCATAGAATCCCCTTCGTGTTGGGTTTCCCTGCTGCCTATCTCCCTGACTACTCCAACCAACTTTGCGTTCGCCAAAGCACTGCCATACGGAAATCCATCTCCACAAATTCTTCGTCACGAGCCTGCCACATGGGATCGTGCACAGCTGCAAATTATGAGCACCGCAATCCCCACCACCGTCATCACCCCCAGCAGCAGCAGCAGCAGCACAAATGCCACCGATGACGACGACGACTTCGATGGCCACAACAACGACCATGATAACTGCGGGGCCAACCACCACATCAGCAGCGAATGCACTGCGCACAGCTCAACAATCCCAAGCAACAACCCCAAAACCCTGAAAAGAAACGGTCACGACAACCACTGGGGCCCCTCCGGCTCGAAATTGCACCTGGTGACCACTAACTTGTCGCCTTCCATCTATTTGGGCCCGGGTCCCACTTGCAAACGCAAAATTACTCAAGCATAGACCCCAGATAGCAAAAGCATGCAAATGATTTTTCTGGGCTGCACCCAATTTTTACATGCAATACAGCGCGGCGTGTCTCCACTACGCGCACAGCCAGCGCCAGCACCCGGCGCCAGCACCCAATCTGCACCACGCACACAACCAGCAACCCGGCGGCACCCTGTGTCCGCCACAGCACCAGCACCCAGCACCGGCACCCTGTTGGCACCACGCGCACAGCCAGCTCACAGTCCACCAGCAACGGCGCCCAGCACTGGCACCCTGTCGCCACCACGACGCGCACAGTAGGGAATAACAACGTATGATCTTGCGCGAAAAAGATTATGCGCACAAAAGTATGCGCGCAAGCAGCAAAGCCCGTAAGTGTCATTGGCCCAAGGCCAAGCAGTATCCAGCGCCACTATTGATTTTGTAGCATGCTTGAAGCAACGATCTGTAGAACGATACGGCCAGTATGATCTTGCGCGTACAAGTTTACGCGCGCAAAAGTATGCGCACAAACGGCAAAGCGTAGGCCTCACTTGCCCAAGGCCAAGCAATATCCAGCACTGTAGCATGCTGAAACATGCTGAAACAATGGTCGGTTGAGAGCCTGACGTTGCGCATACAACATTATACGTACAAAAGTATGCGCGCAAACAGTACAGCCCTTGACACAGCTGTCGGCCAAAACAAACCTCAAGAGGGTAAATACCCCACAGCGCTAATAGACAAAGAATGCTCAAGCGACAACACCGTATGATGTTGCGCGCATACAGCCAGCTCACAGCACCAGCACCAGGACCGGCACCCAGCACCCACCCAGCACCGGCACCATGTCTCCACCACCTGCGCAGCCAGCTCACAGCACGCACCCAGCACCCTGTCTCCACCACTGCGCACAGCCAGCCAGCCAGCACCCAGCACCGACACGCGCACGGCCAGCAGCACCGACACCCTGTCTCCACCACGTGCGCGCACCCGCCCCGGCACCCTGTCTCCATGCACCACGCGCACACCCAGCACCGGGACCCAAAGCACCAGCAACCTGTCTCCACCACGTGCGCAGCCAGCTCACAGCACCAGCACCCGGCACCACCAGCGGCACCCGGCACCAGCGCCGGCACCAGCAACCTGTTTCCACTACGCGCACAGCCAGCTCACAGCACCGGCACCCAGCACCAGCAACATGTCTCCACCACGTGCACAGCCAGCTCACAGCACCAGCACCCGGCACCACCAGCGGCACCCGGCACCCAGCACCAGCGCCGGCACCAGCAACATGTCTCCACCACGTGCACAGCCAGCTCACAGCACCAGCACCCGGCACCACCAGTGGCACTCGGCACCCAGCACCAGCGCCGGCACCAGCAACCTGTTTCCACCACGTACACAGCCAGCTCACAGCACCAGCACCATCAACTTGTCTCCACTACGCGCACAGCCAGCTGACAGCACCAGCACCAGCACCGGCACCCGGCACCCAGCACCAGCAACCTGTCTCCACCACGTGCACAGCCAGCTCAGCACCAGCACCGGCACCCGGCACCAGCAACCTGTCTCGAAAGCGTGCACGGGCAACTCATTGTTATTTGAAGTAAGAACCCCATAGCTTCGCCATCTGGGGAAAAGCACCTCACTTGCGCACGCAAGCTTGACAGTCGAACACGCCTATTGAGTTGAGAAGGGCGCATGCAAAAGTTAACCCACTCGCCCACGCATCACTCACTAGCACACGCGACTCACTGGCGCACACAGGCACGTTGCTGCATTGGAGCGGCACCTTCCTCTAAATTTTGCCCTCGGGTGGCTCACAAAAGGTCTGCTCTTGGAATGGCGCCTTCCTCCTCTGAATTGTGCAATCGAGTCACAAAAAAGTTTGCTACCTTGGAATGGCAGCTTCCTCCTCTAAACTTTACCATCGGGTTGCTCACAAAAAAGGTCCGCTACCTTGGAATATGGCAATTTTCTCCTCCAAACTTTACATAACTTTACCTGGTTCTGAGGTAAGTTCCGGAGCAGGTTCCGGAGCAAGTTCTGGAGTAAGTTTGCCAGGCTGTTTTGCTGATGTCATGCTGGCATTTGAGAGTGCCTGCAGGCGCACACTCTTCAAGAAGCGCTTCTCAGCCTTCTGTACAAGCGAGGCGTTGTCCGCGTGCACCAGCGAGGCGATTTCCGGGGTGCACAAGCGAGTGCCATGCCGCCTACAATCCTTGATCATCTTTGATCTATATTTATGTCGTCCGATCTGCATCGCGCGAGCCAACTGGGCCTCATTGTTCAAGCATTCTACCAACTCCTTCATGTCGGAGACCTGCATACAAAGGCGATTCGCAGGGGCAGGTCTGAGATGACATTGCTGAGGCGTCACCCTTTTAGGACAGCTCCTCTAACCAAACGTGTGACCAGTGACCGAAGCGTCCTACTGGAGTTCCACCTGTGGTGTTTAGAGTTCACCACCAACCTTTGCCCTCAGAAAGACGTGTAAAAAAAGTAGAGGCAAACATGTTTTGGATCAAACCTTCAAGTGAACATCCAGTGAATGCGAGACTCAAATCTCCTGGCTCCCTGCGCCGACGGGAGTTGACTCGTAGGCTTTTCATCACCCCATCACCAGCTCCCCACTCGTGAGCCTTTTTGCCACCAATTCCTGGGTGGCTTGGTGAGAAAATGACTCCAAAATGCTTCAGCTAGCTCACGGTTTGTCTTGGTCTGGAATGCAAAACCTAACCTACCCTACCTTTGGCTGATGTACTTAGTGTACTTGGACCGCTTGGTGAAACACCTCTCGAGCAAACCGCGCAGGTCATGGACAAAGGGTACAATCAAGTTTAAGATAGAACCTGAACGTAAAGACTGCTTTCCTCTAATGCAATCCCCGGATCCCACATGGAAGGTCAACAAGGTCTGATGTACTATTCACGAAGTCCACTCCCTCTGAATAATATGCTAAGAAGATCTAAGAAGGGAAGTATGAGGCCATTGGACCATGAAGGTTGATGCCAGGGGATGAGCTGAGCATTGGAGAAAATGCCAACCAGCAAGAGTCATGGGATCTAGTTGGAGTGATTGGTTCCAAGTGCCCTCCTAGAGGATTAGAAGCGTAAACAAGGATTTATGATTGGATGGCTGCTTCAGTACATAGCCATCGGCAAGCAGTTGGGGTCAGTGGATGGCATCACCATGCTGTTCCCGCAACTTCTTTGGCACTTGGTGAATGAGAAGGCTGAGGCGGACTATGAGAGCTGTTTGGAGGCATTGGTGCAAGAGATGAAGGGCAAGGACAAAGTCTTCTTGTAACCTTTGATGGCAGGGAACTATTGGACCCTGCTGGTGGTGGATAAGATTCGCAAGAAAATCATGTATTGTGACAGTGGGAGGGGCTCTCCAGATGAGACAAAGATTGGCACTGAGCCTGAGATTTAGACTGTTCAGGAGGGCTGCGTGGCTATGGCCGAGGAGATCTTGGGCAAGGTGCTGACTTGTGAGTGCATTGATGAGGCCCTTGTCAATGGGCCACCACTCAGGAGAGAGAATGAGAAGGTTCGCCAGCCCCCACTTCGTGTTGAACTTCATGGGGAGTGAGATGAACGACCACCTTGGCTATGGCCCTGCATCGGCTGGATATGCTTTCCAATTGACCTTTACATGGCAATCCAGTGTCTCAGCCTTGCTTTTTGTTGTTTGATGTTGTTTGCAAGATTGCATTGACTGTCCTTTCTCCAAATGGGAATGGGTTGCTTGCAATCTAAGGATAGGAGAAATTGACCAAGCAGTTGGCTGCTGAGCTGCCCAAAATCAGTTAACATCAGCAGAATCCTGATGAGAAGCTGAAGCAGATTGGTGAGAAGAGCTTGGATCAGGTGCTGAAACAGCATGAGCTGGCAAAGGCCGGGTTGAAGAAGAATCAGGAGCTGACTGCTCTGATGAGGTAGGCAGTAGATCTGAATGAGAAGAAAACCATCCAGATTAGTGAGCTCATGAGTACCATGTGCAAATGGCCAAGGTATTGGCCAGAGGGTTGGCACTTGCTCATCCTGCAGATTTGAATCAAACTGTCTGAGGTGCAATGAGGCCACGTGCCTTGCATACTGGATGAGGAGAAAGCATAGAAGAACTGGCAGGCCGATCGATGCAAAGCATCAGAAAGGCTAAGCCATGAGCACAAACCTCATTGATCTGTTGAAACGGAGATGAACAGCATGATGGTGGCACAAGTAGCAGCATCATTAACAAACCTCTCTAGTGAGCTATTGTTGACTTTGTTGTGTGGCTCGGATTAACCGCGCCGGGGGGGTCTGGCACCCAAACAGCTTATCCAGTGTGAAATTAGCTATCGATAATACGTTCCATTTGGGCGAATTTCCGAGGCTGTTTGGGATCGGGATAGCCAGGGGAAGTTTATTAAGCTTAGCTTTACATTACAAACAGGTGGTTTTCAGGTTCTATGTTTGACTTTTCCGGTGTGTATATATATATATATATACTTATTATTCCAAAACTTTTGCATGGAATATCATGGAATCATACTGACCACAGTGTCGCTGGGCCATCCCTGCGCTCCACCACTGGACAGCCAACGTATCCGGAGCCATGACCTTGGGAAGGGCTTCAATAAAGGGGTGAATTTAAACAAACTCAGCCAACCAAAATAATGGTTTCTACAATTCCGACTGTCTTCTTTAAGTTTTTTGAGTATGTTTTCATTCTGTAGTCCAGCTTGGCCGTTAGCTGTTAGCTGTGTGGAAACAGGACATTCCGAAACGGCAACGACCCTTCCTTCCGGCACGGACCTGCATTCACATCGTCGGCAAGGATGTTGAGCAAAACCTTAAATGCCGGACAAACTCATGAGGGAATAGAAGCTACTAGTAACCAGGACGCTACTAGTAGCTCCTGGCCTTGTTACTAGTAACAAGAAGCTACTAAGGAACAAAGGGCATCGCTACTAGGCTATTAATCGAGGGTTTGGTGTTGAACTAAGCCCATAATGTCTCTTATAACTCACATTACATAGTCACAGGTGTCATAGTTCAAGACAGTTCAAGACATCCATGCGCAACAGTTCCAATATGTCCCACTAATTCCAAGGACCAAACAATCGCCTGGCTCCTCTCTGCATTCATCACACCCCTGGCGTCATCACATTCCATTGCAGGCTACACTTGGTTGAAGGGAGTCGAGGCCTCACTTCCGAAGCCAGTTTGCCTTCTTGGGCTTGGGAGGCGCACAAGGCCGCAAATTCAAGCCCAATTGCACGGGCCGACAGAGAGGGTGGGAAAACCAAATGATCCTTTGCCTGATCCTTGAGCGAAGGAAAGCTAAGGAATGCCCATGAATGCAAATGTTGAGTGTTTCATGATTTTCTAACGTCGCCAGCATTCGAGCCCGCCATGTTCCCACTGGTGACATTAGCTCCATACAACCGGCCTGGCCTGTGATACAGGTCCATCAGGTGCGCGGGGCGATCCTCAGCCAGTCAACCCGCCCAAATGCACATCCCGCGTGAGGACAGCGGCGTGGCGAAAGCGGCGCCTGTGCCATCGGCCATGCTTGCTCTAAGAGATCCGCCTCGGTGAAAACAATGAAAGGACCAGCGAATTGCAAGAATTACATGGCAGCACAGTTGGGTGTTGAGGCGTCTGCCGTGAGGGGAGTGAAGACTAACCCTGCGAAGATGAAGTACTCCGGCCTCGGATCATCGCCCAAACCCAACTAAATCTTTCCAAGCCTCTAAATCAGCTCCTTGATGCATCGCATCTGGAAAACCAAATCACTGCAACATACAAAAAGCAGCCAGCTTAGCAGTCAGTGCCCACTAAATCCTCCTCTGAACGTCTTCCATGGGGCAGGAACTCAATGGTCACTTTGCCGTGGTAGAGGCGCCGCCTTAATCCCAGCGGAAACCAGGCGTGATGCCGTGCAAACGCTTCTGCTCAGGAAATACCAGGAACAAAGGGAAATCATGATGTATAGTCTGTATAGTAGGTTCACGTCGTTGCTTTTCTTGCTTGGAACTATCCACCGTCTCCTTTTTCAAGACACGAAACTGCAGGAGACAGTAGATAGCGCAACAGCATAACAGCACTGGCACTGGTTGTTGAAGTGAAACGTCTGTCTCGTTGCCCACTTCCTTCGGCCCTTTTCCGGTCTGAATGGTATCAAAATCCCCTGACGACCTAGCTACTCCTCCTTCCAAATTTGATGTCTCACGGCGTGGGGAAAGCGAAGAACCTTCCAATCCCCCAGCTTCCGGCGGGATCAAATGAGTGGAAGAGCGCAATGTCGCCTGGCCGTGAGCTCGGGCCAGGCGGGCTGGAGGTGGTGGGTCGGAGACTTCAACTCGTCGGTTCTTGGTGTTCTAGCTATCTGTCCTGCCGTTGTGGCGGGGGGTGGTGACAATCACGGGAGGTTTTGGTGGTTTGTGTTTTTGATCCCGCCCTTCTGAAGGTCGGGAGGGTTGGGGGTTGGGGGCGTAAGTTTCATTGACGAAGTCTTCGAGGCATTGACTTTGCTAAAATGGCGTCTGGTTTCGCGTTGGTGGTTTGAAAATAAACGAGGTATGGCCAGGTCCAGTTCTCAAGCACAATTTACAGTAATGCTTGTTAAAGCTACTCAAGAAGTAGAACACACGCACACATGTTAAAAACAGGAGAAAGCCTGCTTGAAAAGGTACAAACCCTACGGGACCTTTGGAGAGCGTGACCTTGCTCTACCCGTCCCTCCTTTTTTCAGATCTGGATTTTGAGCTCCGTTTTCCCTGCTACAAGCGACTCATCCCAAACTGCACGACGATGATCGAGTGTTCGCAACGCGTCCGAGCATCCATCGAAAATTTGACGTACTCGCTGACGTTCACGTCAGCCAACACATTGCATTCGTAAGTGCATGTATCCCTCCAACAGTGCAAACATCGCCAGAGGTCTGGAGATCTCTTTTTCTCCCACGCAACTTGCTTCTCCACCTTCAAGAACTTGCAGTGAGGAAAATAACCACATCACACATCCGATTCAAACATAATGATGTGCCACGATCTGCCACCCGAATGGGAGAATCCTCTGGCGCATCTGGCGCCGGACCCCACCTCCAGATCATGAATCTCCCCGTCTCTTCGAATCTGAAGCCTCCGGTGCCAAAGGGGGTGCTGCTGCACGTACCGCGGTGCTGCAGCTTCTGGTTGGGCTCGGCACATGGGTTTCCCACGGACAAAATCCAACGAGAGAAGAACATAAAAATATGACATATAGAAATGCCACGAAATAATTGAGCCCAAAACATCAGCCTAGGTCATTTTCAGCTCACTATGGGATGATGAAATGCTTCAAGACTGGCCAGCTCAGTCTGAAGCTCTTGCAGTTGAGTTTCTTCAGATCTTGAGGGTCCATGCTGTAGCCTTCATGGAGGACGAAAATGCACCCCGCGCACCCTTGACCGAGGCCTGGCCACATCACCCACATAGAAGAGGTCCTGAGCCTCAAAACCAAGGCCAGGTGTCTACCTTTCCCTTGAACTCAATACGCTCCATAGCTAAATCCTGTCGGCCATTTTTTGGTGACAACTCAAATTAAACACTTAATTAGAATATAACATAGAATAAACATCTGCCAAGCCGGAAGTGGTGCCACTTCAGTTTCGAGGACCCCGGCCGCACTCAAGGCTACCCGTTGGCCCAACCTCAACGCCCGACGTGCATCATACAGAACCTGTGAACCAAACGCATCACACTCCCCAATGAGGCAAACATGACTGCCCGTAAGTTCTTCCAGGAGCCAGCTTCCGCCTGAAATTCGCAGGAATCCCACTGCTTTTTGTTTTTGTGTGAGACGGACTTGCAGTGGTTTCAGAACAGATGGCACAGCCCCCAAGAGGTGGTTTATATGGGCTCCCATCTAAAAAACATCCTGGGGGTTGTGCCATCTATTCTGAAACTACTGTAATGGAGCACCACGAGCTGAAGCCAGCCATTTATAGGGCCAAATGATCGATGATCCCTATCAGAAGGATCACTCCGAGGAAGGAGGCGATGCCACAGTGCTTTGACGCCCCCAAGCTTGATGATTTCGAACTTGCACTGGAGCATGTAAGAGGACATGAGGTAGTATGCAACTTATAGATTTATAGATAGTATATAGGTCGTAGTGTTATATATATAGTTATACATATATGAATATACACGCAGTAGAATGTTGATGAATGTTGTAGATACCTCCTCGACAAGGCTTGGTTTTCCTTTTTAACGTCCTAGATCCGACAAGTTTCGTCATATGTACATGACTCGGGCATGGCATGGCACGCTCAAGAAGGTTTGAGTTTTTACAACACAACATGTGATGGTGTCACTGGGTGTGGCCGTCAAAACAAGAACAATCAACCTAATAGCAACCCCCTCGCAATCCCCAGAAGCAAAACTGGCATGTACCAAAAACATCCCAAAACATCGAGCTCTACAACCAAAAATCTTCAAGGGGGTCTCGGACTTCATCTTCTTTTCTGAGTCTCTCAAATGCGTGGACCGAATCAGCGCCCCGGCATTTGAACAGCTCCAAAGTTGTCGACCTTGTATTTGCCAACCTCACGCTTTGAACAGCCCCATTCCATGGTGTCCATGGTGAGAAAAATCATGAAAGATAGCCTGGCTGGAGCCTTCCAGCTGGCCAAGCTCGGCATGGCAAGGAGAAGATTGGTGAGTTGTGTGCCAAACGTTCCGGAAGATTTTTCCATGATCTGTTGATGAGAAACCGGGCCCAGAAGCCGCAGAAACGCTCAAGTCAGACTCAAACAAAGCCCCGCTAGACTGTTTTGCGGGCCAACCGCAAGGCTATTGCGACATATGGGCGTGTACTAGCTCCCAAGACCCTTCAAACAGGAAAGTACCTAGTGACCTAGTGCTTGGAAGGTCACCGGATCCCAACGATTCCGAACACAAGTTGAATCGGAAGTTGCTGGGAGGCAGCGTTTCGCTGCGTGAACCCGCAGCAAAAGGCATGCCTGTAGGAGCACATCGCCTTTCTGCAAGACGCTGGGTGGGTCTTTGGGCCTTGGGGCAGTCGAAACTGCAGTGATACAACGTTTGCAAGAAGAACATGCCACTTAGCAACTGTGCATATGCGTATAGGCATAAGAAGACAATGATGTTCCCTGATCTCTTGTCTTTCCCTGACCCTATAGAAAGTCTGTCAAGAATCTGCGCACACGAAGCTTGTAGCCTCATACCCTTGCATTCCAAGATGCCCTCTGTTTGCAGACATGACCAGCACACCTGTCTCTCCCTCCTGCGGATCACAGAAACACTCTTCACATATGTCCAAGTCAATGCAGCTACTAAAATAATGAGAAAAAACTAAAGTACTGAATTAATCGGAAGACCAAACACCTAGATCGAACTCTGGTTTCCCATCTTGTGGGTATATAGGTTTAGATGTATATATATATAGGAAAAGCCGAACGAATGCAGTTTCGGGGTGTTACCTCTTGCCACCGGGGGCTGGCCTGCAACTGCAGTTTCTCGCGATGTGCCCGGCTTTCCTTGAGGACCGAGCGGTGGTGGAAATCGGTGGCTGCTTGGGATCGGGATCCCAAGAGTGTAGACTATTCGTTGGTAAACCCTCCAATCAAGAGGTAATTAAATCATATTAAAACATCTCCACCTGGGGGTCTGGAGGGGTTATAACTCAACAGCCTACCTTAAATTATCTAATACACATTCTGCGACTCTGAGTCGTCCCTGTCAGTTCCCCGTGGCGGAACACCCAGCGGACCTTTCTCTGCACGGATCTCGTCTAACCGGGCATGCATTGCCAGAATGAGCTTCTCCATGCTTCTCCAAAAAGGGTCAATGCAGGTCAATGCCTTCCATCCTTCTTCGAACAGTTTTCGAGCGCTAAAGAAAGCATGATCGCATCCATCACACGAGGCTAATGATCTTAAATAGTATCAATGTTAACGATCTGAATCGCCTTTTTGGAGATGGAGGTTCTCCTTCACAAGTGGCCATTGAACCTTTTTGGGAAGGGAAGTTTATCTGGACCAACTGTCGCACTGAAACGCAGCTGCCATGGAAATCGACTGAGTGAGGTCTTTCTCGCGAACGAGGACTTCTTGAAATGCAGCAGGATAGGGGAGGATTTTCTAAAACCGCTTCAGTCACTCCAGGGTTCAACCACTAAAGCTACAGCACAAAAGTGGGCATAGACATGCCAACAAGGTCCTCCTCCGGCTCAGGGATCATGTAAGCCGAAAGCCACACCTTCAACGCTTCAAATCTGAATGCATGGTCACCCTCATCCACCATCATATTACGTGCTTTCCTTTCATGAGAACTTGGGAGTTCTCACCTCAGGTCGATCTGACAGCGACGACCGTCCAGGCTGCCTCCGTCCATCCTAAGGAGAGGTCCTTCAGCCTGGTGCTGTGAAACGTGCCCCCCGAAAGCCTGTGCTTTGCACAGCGGTTTCGGATGGTGTCGTTCGCTCTGTCAACCAGTTGGGCTCACAGAGCAGCTCTTGGACCTACCAGCCAAAGTGTTTGAGATTTTGAGATCTGTACTTTGCTTCCAATGCGGCACTTGGCGCCTTGTCTTGCAAAAGAAGGGAGACCACGGACATTGTCAGTGTTGTATGGTATATGGATGTGTATATATATATATATCATCGTGTTCTTGGGTGTGCACCCTATGCCGGTAAGCACAAGCCTTGGCGTAACCAGATTGATTGAGAGAGAGGTAGAAGATCACAGTGGCTCAGCCCGTCGTGAACATTGTGCATGTCATAGATTCATAGATATAGATGGCATTCAAACTGATCAAAGCAAGGTATAGATGGTCCATTATCCCCAACAATCACCATTCGATGTCAAAAGTGCCCACACTTTTGCTATCTGCAATTGCTGCCACCTCTCTCCAGGGAAAAAACATCGGTAAACCTGCCCTAGGCCCTAGCCTTTTGGCTTAGGGCTTAGGTCTATGAGCACGGCAGTGATGTCGTCACAGTAGTCCTTGCATTCTCGGCCGTCACAGTAAACCCACGCAGAAAACACAAAGCCTTCTCACACATCGAGCCGTCTTGGGCCCCTGCACTCTCTGCATTCCGCCAGCACTGAAGCGAGGCCTCATAGAGGTCCTCAAAAAGTGCCAAGATCGTCCGAGTTGAGATTTTGGATTATATGCATTTTTGGGGTGCATTGTAATGATAGAAGATAACAAACATATCAGCCTGCAATATCAGCCGTGAAACAAGCGACTGTGGCAAGACCAGCTACCTAGATATACCTACCTGCCCCGGTGACAGCAGGGGCACAAAAACCGCCTGTCAGGGTCCCAACGCCACCTGTTATAGTATAGGTCTGTATAGGTCATAGGTCTGAGTCATATGTAGGCAGCTTAGGCATCTACATCTGCATGTTTCCTGGGGCCTAGCTCTGTTGGCTCATTTATGCGCTCTCGACTCCTTGGCTGTCTTCTTGACTCCCTGGCCTCCAACACACGGTAAAATGTTGCCAGCATCAAAAACGAAGAGTTGCACACACACACACTCTCTTGAATTGGCACACACACACATATAGCACATGTATGTAATGTAAAGTAGTATGGTAATGTATGGTATGATATAGTATGATACATGCATGCTGGTATTGTTTTCACAGATTCTACATGCACAGGCATGCACTTACAACATGGGTAATTACGTCTAGAGTCTTGGCTTCAAGTTTCAACCTGTGCTGAGCTAAAAAGGTCTGCATCTGCATGTGTTCAGCCAGCCTTGCAGCGTTGATGTTGCAGCTCTGCAAACGGTATCCTCAGCTCCAGCCGCTAGAGGCCAGAAGTTAGGGTCCCAAATCACCAGCGATCCCAACCAGTGATTGATAGACTCTGGTAGACAGGTAGGCTCCCTAAACTGAAAACATGCACAACTTCAGAGACTTCAAAGACCCTTACCAGTTCTGCTCCCTTACCTTATTAAGACAGTGATTCGTTGAAGACGGTGCCTTTGACGAACTCGTTTCTGCACCGTCCAGCCTCACAGCCTTCAGTGCTGCTAAGATGCTGAAGTCAAAAACTCCCAAACCCCGTCGGATGCCTCAGCAACGAACTTCGATTTCACTCGAACGGTTGGTCGCTTTTGAGATGTGTTTTTTACCTGCAACTGACCATCGCAAATGATCAACAATAGGCTAGGTATCAGAAAAAGGCTGATTTCCATACGGATCCCAACTGAAATTCTCTATACCAAGCTAGGCAACATAATGAGATAGGTTTGTCTGTTTGACCTGATGGACAACTCGACCCCACAATCTGAGCTGGGATGCCAAAATGATGAAGGGCTTTTGAGCAGTGCTCAAGTCCACATACTTGACATCAGGCGTTGCAATGACACCTGATTGGCGCAGATTCACCGATATGAACCAACAGGATTCCCTGCATCACATCCGTGGCAACATCTTGGTCAGAAAGAGGTCTGATAGCTTGTTGGCTTGAGACAAGGACTAATTAGAAGCAATTTGCGCACATCTGGGTGGATATCGCAGGAAGGGCTCTGCTTTGGAAGAATTTGACTGACTATATAAATCCTGCGATCTTGGAACGCATGATGTCTTCACACAGCTCTGGTCCAGTGAGCAACTGCAAACAACTTCAATTGATACATACAATGCATTCGTTTGCAGCAAAGGCACCAATTTCCTTGACCATTGTATCGCCAAGACTTCTGCTCATGCTGAGACCTACAAATCAGGCCACGCAGAATCAGCGTCTGCTTAGGGCCACAAGCAGGTGATTCGACTTAGCAAGGGGCACTCCACAACCTTTTGATGTTGGTCCTCTTTTCTGTCTGCAAACCCAACAAACCAAACTCAAGCAAGAAACAAACTGTCCAACCATGGTTTGTTAGACGAGTGGTTGTACTCAACATCGGGCGATTTTTCAATAGATTTGATGGTGCAACAACGTTTGAAAGTGCTTGGCTTCCTCTCCACGCCTGGTTTCTCGGTGTTTTTCACAAAAATTCGGTGCTCCGTCCTTCCGGGCAACGCGGCTCCATCCGATCCAACGGAGGACTCGACTCGGCGGCCAAGACGTATCAGAGCGCAACGTCGCAAACACATTTCAAGAAATCGGAGGATTGTCCGAAAAGGTCGACACCTTTCTAGCGTCCACCCGTTGGCAAGCAGCTGATGTTTGGAGCTTAGAACTTGTCTGTGCTCAAAAGTTCCAACTCTGATTTGATCATGCAGTGCTGCAACTTGCGCCGGTCCATCCATCAGGATAAACCTTCCGCGAGCAAACAACACGGAAGAAATTCACTCCCTCTCCCTCCTCTCCCTCCTCTCTCTCTCTCTGAGACCATCGTAGTTGCTCGCATGTTGTGGCGATCCCCGACTACATAGACAAAACATGCGACTTAAAACTATGTAAAGGAATCCTCTTGAAGAATGTTTCTTGTTTGTCTCATTTTATTTTGAACCTCTATGACCACAAATAATGCATGCTGTGTGAGTTCCAGGCTGGCTTTGTCTTTGGACTCTCCAAACGCTCTTCCAAAAAACCATGCATGAAATCATCACTGAAAACATGAATTCTGAAAAGACAAATTCGCGAGATCAACCGCTTCACAGAAAAGGTCGCCACAGCAGGGGTTCGGGTGTATCTATGTAAAATCCTCTTGTTAAAATGTTGCACAAAAACGGTTGTTAAAACACAATAAAAACCTCAAAATGTTGTAGCTGCTCGTTCGGCATCGAATGTCTGTCTTGGGTGACATGATTGCCAAGTCAACCGATTTTCCCTTTCCCGTGACATTTATCTGTTGATTCTTCGCCTGTAACATTTCCATCAGAGTACAGTAACAAAAAATGGGAGCGGCGAGTACTAGTAGCAGGTTTGATAGGCCGAAATTCAACATCCACTAAAGACTTCTTGGGAACAAGTGCATATAATTGCATTGTTTAGTTTCAAGAGTTTCAAGAGTTTCAAGCTGAGGAGGGGGGATTCTTCTGTGACTTCGCTCTGGGTCGGATAGATTGAGCATCCCTTCAAAATCATGGAAGTGGACACTAGTTTGTTGGAAGACCCTTTGGGCCCCTTCCTCTACAAAAGAGGATGTTTTCCACATCCATGCTTGGATAGATTGATGGCATGCTCTGGACCCGCCTCGGTGTGCACCTCACCGCCGAGCTGCTCGATGCGCTGCTTCTCGGCTTTCGTGGAGGGCCTCACCGCGTGGCCACAAGTCATTCAGCTTGGCCAGGTTTGGTATTGCTGCATGGTGTGACACATCATAGATATGATATGATCATACTTGATCATATGATTACACTGGCCAGAAGAAAGTTGCGCTTCTTGATGTTGAAATTCATGACAACCCTATCCCCCTAGAATCCTACACCATGAGACAAGGGAAGGTGTGGGCGGTCATTTGTCACCCCGGAAAGCCTCTTATTGTTATAAATTTAAAAGAGTGTGATAATTGACCGTCCCACACCTGCCAC